CCTGTTTTATTAAAGTCCAGAGTCCATAAATTGATGTAAAATTTAAGCTCTGCCATTTATAGAATGTTTGTTAAAGTATTTGCCAAAAGGTGTGTCAGCAACATTATTGATTTTACATTATTTCTGTTGCACATTCAAGACTCTTCTAAAATTGTCAGAAAGATATATAATATATACTAAAATTAAAATGATTCTTATTGCCAAGGTTGCTATCCTATTAGACTGTAAAATCATTAAAACACTTGAAGTTGAAATTTAAGTATGACTTCTTCCCTTTCTACTTCGTTGCTGTTCAAAAATGGTCATTAATGGAACACAATTTTCAACATTGCTAGTTAAAATAAACTTGTTAAAAATGGGCCACATTTGCCCCACTCCGGTACTCTTGGATCAGAGTATGCTTTTTAAAATATTTCCTGTTTCTTTGATAAATAATTTATCAAAGAATTTATCTGCATCACATGAGTACAATACTCAAAAATAAACATGCCAATGTTGATCTGATTATTTTACAATTTCTCTTCCAGATCAGAATAGTTTCTGTAGTGATTTGTGGATCATATCTCATCCTCTTCTCTGGGGTTAGAAATATGGTAGAAAATATTATATTATATTAAATTATATTATTGTGTAATACCGGCCACTCTCCTAGATCAAAACCAAGTCTCTGTACTTGCTGTTTTCATCTTGGGTCACATTAGGAAGTCTTCCTGGAGAAGGTAATGGCAGCCCACTCCAGTACTCTTGCCTGGAAAATCCCATGGACGGAGGAGCCTGGTAGGCTGCAGTCCTGGGGTCGCTGTGAGTCGGACACGACTGAGCGGCTTCGCTTTCACTTTTCACTTTCATGCATTGGAGAAGGAAATGGCAACCCACTTCAGTGTTCTTGCCTGAAGCATCCCAGGGACGGGGGAGCCTCGTGGGCTGCCACCTATGGGGTCGCACAGAGTTAGACACGACTAAAGCGACTTAGTAGCAGCAGCAGCAGGAAGTCTTCCCACAGCCATATGACACATGTACTTTGTATTTCAGGGACGGCTGAGGTTCCAGGATGTGGCCATAGATTTCAGTCTAGAGGAGTGGAAATGCCTGGACCTCAGTCAGCGGGACTTGTACAGGGACGTGATGTTAGAGAACTACAGGAACCTGGCCTCCTTGGGTGAGGATAACTGCCTTCCAGAATCCCTTATCTACCCACATGGTTTTGGTCCTTTCACTTGTAGAATGTCTCCTGGAATCTTCTGCTTCTTATAATAGAGTTTCAGATCCCTGCTTTTTAGGGGAAAATGGGAATCTGTGAATTTAGAAAGAAGACTTCATGATGACTCATTATGATTGTAACCTTTTTCTTCCTTGATGTAATCTGCCGCCTTCTAGGTTAGTGGCAATTCTGTAAGTTTTGTAGTATAAAAGGGTGTCACTTTCCTTTTCAAATCAGATTTCTGCTACATACTTTTACCTTAGTAGTACTTCACTAGAATCTCAGATCTGTTCTTTAATGTATTTGTTAGTGTTGTAAATGTCCTTTCAATAAAGTATTTGGGAAAATCATTCTCTAGGCTGTATTAACAGTCAACCATGCATTCTCTTCACACATGAATACATATTGGGTTGGAAACTGATGAAACTCTAGCAAAACAAATATTCTTTTCTCTGATGAACAGGTCTCGTAGTCTCTAAGCCAGACCTGGTCACCTTTCTGGAGAAAATGAAGGATCCTCGGGATGTAAGGAGAATGGAGACAACAGCAATACACCCAGGTATGTCTGAACGGAGGGAGCAGATGATTCAGGTGAGAGGCCCAAGCATCAGAGAGGAAGCTATCCTTTGTATATTGTTTCAGAAGATCTGCTTCAGTGGAAATGATTTTGGAGAAGTCTAGTTATATTTCTGTTGCTGTCAGAGACGGACATCTCCTGCCACATTCTGTCTCTTAAATTATTCATGAATTCACCTCCAGTGATTGCTTTTCTCATTCACAGTGAGAATTAAAATTCTCCTCTTGGCCTGTGACAACCTACATGAGTTGGCTGCTCTTCCATTTCTTGGGGATCCTGGGATTTAACCTCTGAGCCACATTAAATATGTTAAGTGTATCTGTCCCAATTCCTCAATGCTAAAATACTTGAATATATTCAATTACCTCAAGAATGTTAAAATAAATTGACATAAGAGATTAGAACATTTTCCACCATATTTTTTGGAGAAGGCAGTGGCATTCCACTCCAGTATTCTTGCCTGGAAAATCCCATGGATGGAAGAGCCTGGTAGGCTGCAGTCCATGGGGTTGCTAGGAGTCGGACACGACTGAACGACTTAACTTTCAGTTTTCACTTTCATGCACTGGAGAAGGAAATGGCAACCCACTCCAGTGTTCTTGCCAGGAGAATCCCAGGGACGGGGGAACCTGGTGGGCTACCGTCTATGGGGTCACACAGAGTCAGACACGACTGAAGCGACTTAGCAGCAGCAGCAGCACCATATTTTTAATGGTTGTTAAACTATTAGAAGTTTTAGATAATATAAAGAAATCTTGTTAAAATGATCTTTTTGGAGTATAGCTGTTTTACAGTGCTGTGCTGCCATACAGCAAAGAGAGTCAGTTATACATATATATGTATATCCACTCCATATCCACTCTTCTTTGATTCCCTCTCATTTAGGTCTCTGTAGATCACTGAGTAGAGTTCCCTATGTTCTCATCGTATCTTTAAAGTCTACTTCTTATTTAATTTCTTAAGAACTACTACTTTATTAATTTATCTTGTGTGTTATCAGTTTCCCTGGACTTTATCCCACATGTCCTCACTTTCTGATTAGTTCTCTGTCAATATCAGTTATGACTTTTAGATTCAAACATCTAATAGAACACTCTCAAATAAAGACCTGTGTGATAAGAAGTGGAGCCCAGTGACAGCCCTTCCCAGAGCCTGGCAGGGAGGGGCTGGCACAGAAGGAGAGCGGCTGCAATGGTGGGTCTTCCCTTTGGGCATCACTCAGCAGTGGCGCTCTGCTTCTCTGCTGATTCAGGCTTCCTCCACAAGCATTCATGCTTGCGGAGCTCTTCACTCCTGTCTCCTCAGGAGCTCTCACAGCCAAGAGCAGGCATCTCCCTGGGTCTGCTCTCCAAGCCCCGCAACTCAGCACCCGGCGCTTGTCCGCAGTGGTGATCACCCCTCGCACTTTGCGGTGGGCAGGGCTGGGGTCAGTACCCTGTGTACACGGGCCACTCTGGCCTGCGGCCACACCCTGGTTGCCGTGTTCTCCTCCTACAGAGAATGAGGCTCCCCTTCTATCCCGACTGAGCTCCTACCCCGCCCCAGTGACGGGCTCCCCGGATGTCAGCCTCTCCTCTCTTCCATCCCCCCACTAGGATCGCAGGTCCCACACTACCTCTTCCGCTTCCTTCTTTCTTTTGTCCTACCTGGCGAAGCGGGAACCTTTCTTGTCCTTTTAGGTGTCCAAGGTCCTCTGTTAGTGTTCAGCTGGGCTCTGTGAGGGTTGTCCCGTTTACACATGTATTCTTGATGCATCTGTAGAGAGAGATGAACTCCACGTCTACCTAATCCTCTGCCATTTTGATCTTTCCGTCTCTGTTTTATTCTTAATCTAGTGAAGGGTTCATCAATGTCATGTAAATATTTAAGGATGTTCACTGAAAATACTAAGTAAAATGACTTGCTATTTGGTATCTTTCAGCTGTGTCTTCTTAGGACACCCAGGGTTTGATGCCAAAGAATCCATGGTTAGATGTATTCCCAAAAGCAAACCTAGAAATAAATGAAAGATTTCACCTTGGCAACTTACATTTAATGAAAGACTGGGAATATACAAGGGCATGTGAAATACAGAGAGGATGCGAAATACAGCAAGGACATAAAAAAATTAAGACAGTTTCACATAATACAGATGTGACTGCCAAAAAAAAAAAAAATACTATGAGTCAGTTTGGAAAAAACAATTTCAGGCATTGATATCTGCAGAGAAGTGTATGTTTTTAAGCAAAGACCCACATCATTTTTGAAATATGCATATTCTCTGAAAGGAAATGTCTAAAATCTGGTAAGGTATCCAGTCTATACTGCAAATACTCATTCAAACTATTCTGAACCTATTAATAGGCTTCGATTAAACATAAATTCAAACATGTCTGGAAACCAGATATTTAAAAATAGGGGGAAAACTCCCAAAATAAGCAGTTTGAGAGATCAGTAAGCAAGGGGTCATTAGTCTTCCAACAACAGATATATCTCTCTGTTCCAATATTTGTAATGTTGATAATAATATAAGACACTTAATCCAACCACCATAGTTCAATACATATCATGATATGGTTAATATGGAACAATTTTTCATGTGTACTAAAATAGGTCAGGCCTTAAGTAAGAGCTCCACCCCCAATAATTGCAAGAGTATTTGTGATGGAGCGAAAAGCTACACATACAATGACACTGAGCATAAGGTTGAACAAGTCTCAAACCTGAACAAATACCAGGGACCTCAATGTTCACACAAGGTTTTTAAAAGTAATAAATGTAGGAGTATCTTTTATCAACGAACAGGTCTTTATATAAGAGTATTCATATGGGAGAGCAGACTTATAATTGTAGTGAATATGATAACGTTTCTTTTTTCTCCTTTTTCTTTGGGATTTTAAAATTTTAATCCAGTTCAAATCAGTGTGCGTGGTACATTTCTACTCCTTCACTGCTGAACCTGGGGGCCGAGTCTGCTTCGGCTTTTCTGCCTTCTTGTTGTCCGTGATGACCAAGGTGTAAAGGTATCCGCTGCATCGAACTGGAAACTTCACATTATCCTTATTTTTCTTGATCTTGACAGATTTGGCGTCCTTTCGCCCAGCTGTGAGCCGATTGTCCTTGATTTCCTCAGTTTTGCAAGGCATAGCGGCCATGCATGGTGGTTACACGGGGAACAGCCGGAGAGAATCACTTGGAGCACCCCGGAAAGTTTCTGATCCGTCTTCAGATCTTACTCGACAGCAGAGCATTCAGAATCCACGGAAAGATAACAAGTGTAATATATGTGGGAAAGTCTTTACTAACTCATCAAATCTAACTAGACATAGGAAAATCCATTCAGGAAGGAAACCTTTTAAATGTACAGTATGTGGCAAAGGCTTTTTGCGTGGCACTGATCTTAGACAACATCAACGAATCCATACTGGCCAGAAACCTTATAAATGTAAGGTATGTGGCAAAGCCTTTAGCTGTAGCTCAAGTCTTACTCGACATCAGCGAGTTCATACTGAAGAGAAGCCTTATAAATGTCCAAAGTGTGCCAAAGCCTTTAAACAGAACTCAAGTCTTAATCATCACCAGCGATTTCATACTGGGAAGTCCGACCAATTTAATAACTGCAGTGAAGTCATTACTGGCTGCTCAAGTCTTACTGAACATCAGGTAATTCATACTAGAGAAAAGCCTTATAAATGTAAAGATTGTGGCAAAGGATTTATCAAAATTACGAGCCTTACTCCACATCACCGAATCCATACTGGAGAGAAACCTTATAAATGTAAGGAATGTGGCAAAGCCTTTACCCAAAATTCAAGCCTTACTCAACACCAGCGAATTCATACTGGAGAGAAACCTTATACATGTAAAGAATGTGGCAAAGCCTTTCGTCAGAGCTCAAGTTTTCATAAACATCAGAGAATTCATACTGAAAAGAAACCTTACAAATGAAAGGAATGTGGCAAAGGCATTGATCAGAGCGGTCATCTCACTAGACATTTGAGAGCACACACTGGAGAGAAACCCTAGTAATGAAACAAGTGATGGAAGAGATTTGTCCTAAACATACACCAGAAAACATGAGCGTTTATACAAGAAACACATGGGAGTGATGTAATAAATATGTAGAAAAGTATTGAATCAAAACTTAAATCTAAGTAAATATCAGAGATGGCTTACTAGAAAGCATTTCGTCAATCCTGTTTTCTGAAGTTACTCTGAAGGAGAATTACTGCAGAGAGGAATCCATAGAAACACATAGAAAATTGATAGCTTAGTATGGATCATGAGATGAACGGTTGGTGTTTAGGAAGTTACAGTTATTAGCATTGTATCCTTGTTTAGACTGACATGATTTGAGATTATTTGAAAACCAAAATGAATGTAATTCAACTCTGAAATACTCCATGCTATGCTTTATTTCTAGTGTGTATTCAAACTTTTTCTGATGGTTGCTACCTCAAAGATGAGAGAAGACCTTCTATATTGTGTTGGAACCATTTATATCTAATCTCCATTAGAAGATTAAAGACACAGTAATGTAAAATGTACAATCAACATCTAAATGGAGGTGTTTGTTATTGATTTCAAATATCCCTATAGGTCACGTCATATAAGCGATGATGGACTCTTTCCATGTATTAAAGTAAGACAGAGGTTTGTTCTAAATTTTCAAGTTGTATCACTAGTTGTATTTTCTAGTTGTATCACTTGATTTGTAAGAACTCAGTGACAGTTAACTAAAATATTGACGTATCTATAATACCGTCAGAAGTCAAGGATATTAGTTGACAATGTTGAAATAAAAACATCTTCTGTGATAACCTAGAAATGTATGAGAAACCCTTCTTGAAAAAGCCATATAATTAGGGTTTATCAATTTACTAAGTGACTCCTAGCCTCTGTTTTGTAAACCATAGAAATCATAATTCTTAGATCATTGTATCAGAAATATAAATATCTTTCTCTATGCTTGTAATTTGTATTTTAATCAAGGATCACACAGTGGGTTGTAAAAGGTTTTATTTCAACTATGTGTGAAATTAATATATGCTAATTAATAAAAGTGAATAGTTTTTAGTGTTTTGGTTGATTGTAATGAATTTAGTGTTAACCCACCACCACCACCATTAACCTCTCCCACCTTATCTAAGGTTGTAGAGAAGAGTAACAAACTATTTGGTAGCAGAGAGAGATGCCATCTGTAGAAATTAGTTCCTTATTGGCTTTAAACCTCTAATAACTTCAGATGTTTTCCACCATTTCTATGTTGTATCTCCTCTCTCATTTTGCAACTGCTTGGACATTGTGATGGTTCTAATAATAAGGATTGTTGAAAACTTACCTGAACTGCCCCATGCTGTTGCTGCCTCAGCATCTGTCTGGGGAGCAGGCAGCCTGCAGGTCTTTGAATTCAAACCAGCCAGTCCTGTGAGTGCCTCCACTAGATGACCACCTTGATATCAGCAATCTTGCTGAACCCCAGGTTCTACTTCACAGGCCCCCCTTCAATGACACCCTCAGAGCTCCCCAGAATCCTGCTCCTCTGGTTTGAATGGACCCATCCACCCTCAGCCTGGGGGGCCCACAAGATTTCACTCACGGTCACCTACAGAGGTCTGAACCCCAAGCACTGATGCTTTCTCTGCTTGGTGCTCTGCTTGACCTCCTTCAGAAATTCTCACCCAAAACCTTCCCCTCCTGAGAGGTCTCAGCTGTGCTGAGTGTGAGCACTTCAGCTCGGCTCCTGAGTGTGGGTCTTGGGGAAGAAGCATCAGAATAAATGGAATTTGCTAAAGACTCATTTCATGGCCCCATCTCAGACCTGCAAATTCCTAACTTCTTAGATGGGGGACCTGACCTTGAGGGGTTCATAGTCACTGAAATGGTTCAGAAAGAACCTTTAGCCAAGTGGTTTCCATCTGTTTCCCATCAGGGTCACGTGAACAGTGTTAGGACATGACCTCCCCAGTGCCCTCCCCAGAGAGTTCTCTTGGTCCTGTGGGAGCATCAGTGTGGTGTGTAGGAAGTGCTCCAGGGGATTCTAAGGGGAGGCCTGGGTTAAGGACGTGGTTCCTGGTCCACTCGTGAGAGCTGAGGCCCGGCTTCCTCTGTGGAGAGGTCGCAAGTTTGGTCTAACTGGATTTGGACTGGGGAAGTCAGTCAGCTCACATCATCTGTACGTGCAGAAGGTTAGGAGCTCTCTCTGAGGAGAGAACAATCAAGAAGTAAGTTCACAGGCTGGTCTCCAGGTAGGAAGTGATTGTTCCTGACTCTCTCCTGAGACAGAGGTCAGGAGAGGTGGGTCTTTACAGTTTTTCAAGGTCCTTTTGTCTGTAGGTGAGGTGGTTGCAGGTTAAAGAGCTGTGAGGATTCCTTTGAAGGTATTTTCTCAAGACACAGGTGTGAATTTGCAACATAACATCCCCAGAGAAGACAGAGCAAGAGGAAGAAGAGGAAATGGCAGCTTCTCAGGTACATGTCCTGTCCTGGGTCTGGGCTGTGTCTGCTTTTCCTCCTGAAATGGCTGGACTGAGAACCTGCAAACCTTTAATTGTCTACTCATTTTTTATTTTTTGGCTCGGGCTGTTTGTTTTCAACTATCTGCTTTTTCCTATAATAGTGAAGACCAGCTCTTTAGACCACTTCTCCCTTATGTCCCAGAGCCTTTTCTCCATTGTCTGTATCCCAGCTTTCTATAGAGCAAGATGAATTCTCCATGTGACTTAGTGACTTTCAACTGGTGAATATATTCCCTTTGTGAGAGATCAACACGAGGAATCACTGGTATCCAAGATTCCCACTGGGATGTGGTTTGGTGTTGGGATCTTAGGACAGTAGAGGAATTGCAGTGATGAGCTTCCATCTGGATGCAATTTCAGATCTTTAGAGCAGGAATAAGAAAATGCAGTTATAAATGGAGTAAACTCAGTGATCCGGAATTTTTCAGAAAATTTTGAAACAAAAAGAAATAATAGTGTAAGATCTCTATCATTAAAATAACTTGCTCTTGAAATATATGACACAGAACAGGGGAGGTATATATGAAGTGAAATTTGCATGAATGACATTTTTCAGGGTAGATTCCAATCACCTGTTACCATTTATCCCATTACACTGCATGTTTCCTGGTTCAGGGTCTTCCGTGAGATTCCAGCGCTGTGATGTTCACATTTTTCCTCTTCAGCTTTAAGAAAAGTTTTGGATGATTTAGTCAGGGACATACAGGAGCCACCGGTTACAGTAGAAATCCATACCTTCTTAGTTTCTCTTTGTTTTGGGTAATGAACACACCTGTGTTTAGTGGGCATATTGGGTTTTGGAAGTGGAGGTTTTCATCACTCAAGTCTGGGTCTGACTTTACATTGCACTCCACTGTCATAGCTCAAACAATCATCTTCTCACATTTTTTGATTTTCCCAAATATTTATGATAATCATATTCCTAATGTTTGTGTAACTATGTTAAATTTCTAAAGTATAGCTGAACACAAATGATACAGGTTTTGAAAGAAAGGACTCAGAACCAAGAACTCTATTTCATATTGTTATGTGTGTTTGTACGTTAGTGTATTTAAAGCATACAGATTTTCATCCACAAATAAATAAGATTTAACCAGACTTTATTGACTTGAATACTTTTTCTCACTTTAAAAATGTATATAGTTCCCATTTTAGCATGTGTGCACAAAAATGATAACATTATTTGATTCATTTTTGAGGTATATTTTTGATGTTTTTCCAAGTTACCTACACTGATATACACATTTATTAGAGCTGTCTCTGTGTGTTTGTCTGTGTTCTTTTTTTATTTTTCTCTTTCTTTTTTATTTTTTGTATTATGAAAGTATGATAACACATTTACAGGAGATGTGAAATACAGAACAAAGTTAAATATAGATTTTATTATATAACACATTTTAAAAATAGATTTTTAGTTGGTGTTTCAATGTCAAATTCTTCAAAGTTAATGGAATGAAGATTCAGAAAAGTACAAGGATATAGTAGACCTCAAATAACCATGAACTAACCAGTTAAAAATGAGCTTATTAAAGAAGAACAACTCTGGCCTGACTCCAGAACTCTTGAATTGGAATCCATTTTTAAAAAATATTCCCGGTTTGGAGAAAAATATTCAGGTTTGGTTGAAGGACGATTTATTCTGCATAACACAAGAACAACACCCTAAATAAATATGCCTCTGTAGATGACATCATAGTACAGTTTTTCTCCCAGATAAAAAGAATCTCTACAGTGATTTTGTGAATCATATACTGTCTTTTTTCGGGGCTAAAAATATGATAGAGAATATTAGCGTGTAAAAATTATATTCTTGTGTAATGCCAGACATTCTCCTAAATCAAAACCATTTTCTCTTGCTGGTTTCATCTTGGGTCACATTAGGAAGTCTTGCTATGGCCACATGGCATATGCAACTTGTATTTCAGAGACTGCTGACATTCCGGGATGTGACCATAGATTTCACTCTAGAAGAGTGGGGATGTCTGGACCTCAGTCAGCAAGAATTGTACAGGGACGTGATGTTAGAGAACTACGGGAACCTGGCCTCCTTGGGTGAGGATGACTGCCTTCCAGAATCCCTTAAGTACCCTCACGGTTTTGGTTTCTGTATTTCTGAATGTCTCCTGGAATTATCTGCTCCTTATAATAGAATTTCAGACCCCTGCTTTCTAGGGAAAAAATGGAAGTTTGGGAGATTAGAAAGACTTCATGATGATTTATTATGATTCTAACCTTCCTCTTTCTTGATATAATCTGCCTCCGTCTCTAGGAAGGAGATTACTAGGAATGTTGTAAGTTCAGTGGTATAAAATAGTTCTGCCCTCATTTCAAAATCAGATTTCCACTACTTATTTTTGCCTTGTAGTACTTGACCAGAATCTCAGGTTCTGATTTTTATGTATTTGTTAGTGTTGTAAACGTACTTTCAATAAAGTATTTGGGGAAATCATTTTCTAGGCCGTGTTAATATTCTACTACACCTTCTCTTCTCACCTGAATACACACTGGATTTGAAACATGAATCTCCAGCACAACTGTTTCCTTTTCCTGATGAACAGGTCTTGTGGTCTTTAAGCCAGATCTGGTCACCTTTATGGAGCAAAGGAAGCATCTCTGGGATGTAAGGAGAATGGAGACAACAGCCACATACCCAGGTAGGTGTGAATAGATGGAGCCGATGACTCAGGTAAGAGGTCCAAGGAGCAGTGAGGAAGTCAGCCTTTGTCCTGTGGTTTGGGAAGATTTGCTTCAGTGGATATGATTTTGGAAAAGTCTGGGTTTATTTCTGTTGCTGTCATAGACAGACAGCTGCCCCATTCTGTCTCTTAAATCATTCAGGAATTCATCTCCAGGGATTGCTTTTCTCACTCACAGTGAGAACTAAAACGCTGCTCTTGGCCTGTGACAACCTGCATAAGTTGGCTGCTCTTTCATTTCTTGGGGGTCCTAGGAAAACTGTGCCCATTTCTGAGTAACTCTATGATGCTCTTTTTAAACTTTGTTTCCACCTCTAGACATAAGTGTGTGAGTGGAGCTGTAGACACACTGCCAAAGTTCTAGGAAAACTGGGGACAGGTATTTTTTTCCCCCCTAATTTATATTATATAACACTGCAAGCTACAAATACAACCTTGCAAATTTTAAACTCAAATAATGTCTTCGCTGCATAAATCAAAACCTCCCTAAAATGAGAGAATGCAAATCTCAGGCTTACTTCAAAGTTTCTCTTTTCATCATATGATCTCATGTTAAATACCTTAAGTGTATTTGTTCTGATTTCTCAATGCTAAAATACTTTAATGTAGTCATTTAACTCAATGAATTTTCAAATAAATTGGCATGGGAGCTTAGGCCATTTCCTACCGTCTTTTTATGGTTGTTCATCACTGTTAAGATTTTTAGATTATATGAAGACATCTTTTTAAAAAGCTCTTATTGGAATGGAGCCATTTTACAATGTTGTGCTACTGTACAGCAAAGAGAATCAATTATACATGTATATATCCAGTCTCTTTTAGATTTCCTTCCAATTAGGTCTCCACGGAGCATTGAGCATAGTTCCCTGTGTTCCCATCATATTTTTAAAGTCTCATTTCTTATTTAATTTCTTAAGAACTACTACTTTATTAAGATTATCTTGTTTGTTATCAGCTTCCCCAGACTTTGTTATATATGTTATCACTTTTTGATTAGTTGTATGTCAATATCATTTATGATTTTTAGATTCAAACATTGAATAGAATATGCGCAAATAAAAACAGACATGGTAAGAAGTGGATTAAAGAATTATTAGGCACCTAGTATTTGTGAAAATGTCTGGTGTCTCAATTCAAGATGACTTAAAGCAAAAAGTCATCATTAGATTGCCTATCTCGTTTTCACTGGGTGGTTCTCGTAGGTTTTTATTTTGCTCCTTCCTCTACAACATATTTCTTTGTCCTCTCATTTTGTCCAAATTTTTGTGCTTGTGGTCTCTCTTATGAAGGCTGCAGGATCCTAGTTCCTCTTGCTGTGGTGTCCGCACCCTCATGGGTGAGGTTGGTCCAGAGGTTTGTGCCCTTATCCCCTTAATCTGGGCTTTGATGGTTGTTACTGTGACCCGAGCCTGCCCTGGATATTGAGGGGAGCCTCCCCTTGGCTCTGCGGCTGTCATCGCCCTGTCTGTGGTGGGTCTGCGCCCTGGTTGGTGGAACAGAGCCCCCAGATCTGTTTCTTCACTGTGATTCTGATCTGTGTGGAGGCAGGTGGGATTGGAGCACACCCCCGGGAGAGACGCCTCTGAGGATTGCTGCTCTGGGGATGTTCCCTTTGGGATGTGCTCTGTGCGTCACCTTTTGCATATTGTGTGAGTCTCGTGTGACCCTGGTTGGCACTGCCCTTGGCCCCACCTCAACCATGGGTATGCCGGCACATGGCCCTGGGGTCTCTCAGATGTTGTTTTCCCCGGGTCACCAGCATAGATCCCCTGAACTCAGGTCCCAGCATTGCATTCATCATGGAGCTGGACCCACTGTGGTGCTGTGGGGGCAGCTCAGACTCCGGCCTGGCCCCACCCCTAGTGTGGGAGCCCACAAAGTCTCCAGCTGCTACAGCTACACCTGCTGTGACTGGGGGAGCCCTCCTTGTCCACTCAGATGCTCTATAGGGGCTGAGTTTGCAAAGACAGCTGTGACGGTATAGAGACGAGCTGGTGCAGCTTCCAATAGAAGATTTCAGCTTTACTTGCTTAATTTCCAGACCCTGGGGCTCAGCAGTGTTTAGCCGCCTCTGTGCATGTGGATGACCCATAGGCACCTGCTCCCAAGGTTTCCCAGAGCCCACCAGTCTACCCTGGTAGGGAGGGGGCACAGAGGAGAAGGCAGCAGCCAGCATTGTGAGAGCACCCACCCTGGCGGGAGCCCTTCCTCAGGCCTGGTGAGGAGGGGCCGGCACAGCGGGAGAGAGGCTACAAACAACAGTGAGTCTTCGCTTTGGGCATGACTCAGCAATGGCGCTCTGCGCTATGGTGGTTCAGGCCTCCGCCCCAAGCATTCCTGTTTGCAGAGCTCCTCCCTCCCTGCCATTCCCACAGGACGTCTCCTCACAGCCCACAGCAGTGCTCCGCCTGGGTCTGCTCTCCAGACCCCGCATTCCAGCACCCAGCCCTTGTCTGCAGCGGTGGACGCCCTCTCAGGCTGGGTGGGCAGGGCTGGGGGCGGTACCCCGTGTGCAGGTCTCCTCTGTCCTGCTGCCACACACTGGCTGCCATGGTCTCTTCCCCGGATGTGGAGACCACCCCTCTCTTTCTGCTCCCCGCAGGGTTGCAGGCTCCATCTCGCTTCTTTCCCTCTTCCTTTCCTTCTTTCTTTTGATCTACCTGGCTCAGCAGGAATCCTTCTTGTCCTTTTGGTGTCCCAGGTCCTCTTCTAGTTTTCTGCAGAGGCTCTGTGAGAATTGTTCCACTTGCAGATGCATTCTTGATGCGTTTGTGGAGAGAGATCAACTCCATGTCTGCCTAATTCTCTGCCATCTAGGTCCTTCCATCTCCATTTTATTTTCAATCTAGCTAAGGGCTCATCAATTTTATGTAAATTTTTAAGGATATTCACTGAGACTTGTAAGTAAAATGCCACATTCTTTGTGTCATCTCACAACATGCAAGATTTGATGCCAAAAAATCCAGGGTTAGAAGATTTAATCTCCAAAGCAAAGCTAGAAATATATGAATGAGTTCACCTTGGCAACTTACATTTAATGAAAGACTGCGAATATACAATGGCATGTGAAGGACAGAGAGGATGTTTACCTGGACATAAACAAATTGAGACAGTTTCCCATAATGCAAACATTATTGCCAACAGATATCAAGGATATGAACCAAATTGGGAAAAACACCAGTTTGAAAGATCAACATCTGCAGAGAAGTGTGTGTTGGTAAGGAAAAATCCACATTATTTTTTGAAACATACATGTTCTCTTCAGAAAAATGTGGAAAATCCGGAAAGTCATCCAGTCTCTACTGCAAATAATCATTCACACCTTTCTGAACATAGGCTTCGATTAAACATACATTCAAAAATGCCTGAAAACCAGAAATTTAAAAATGAGGGGGAAAATTCCCAGTATAATCAATTTAATGAGTCCTTTAGTAAGGGTTTATTATTCCTCAACCAACATATATTTTCTGCCAATTCCGAGATCTGTAATATTGATATTAATGGGAGAGACCTTACTGAACCATCACTGTCCAATACATATGGAGGTATAATTAATGTGGAACAACTTTACAAGTGCAGTAAAATGAGTAATGCCTTACACAAGAGCTCTACTCCCAATAATTACAAGAGTATGTATGATGGAGTGAGAAGCTATTCATGCAATGAAACTGGTTATAACCTTGACCAAGACCCAAATGTTATGAAATATCAGGGACTTCAATTATCAGACAATGATTCTAAAAGTAATCAATATAGAAATGTCTTTTATCAAAGTTCAAATCTTACTAGTTATAAGAGCATTCATATTGGAGAGAAAAATCATAATTGTTGTGAATATGGTAAAGGTTGTAATCAGTCTTCAAAACTTATTCAGACTAAGCAGAAGTGCTGCAAATGTAATATATGTAGAAAAGTTCTTAGTAAATCATCAAGTCTAAACAGACATAGACTAATTCATATAGGAAGGAAGCCTTTCAAATGTACAGAGTGTGGCAAAGCCTTTGACTGGCAATCAAACCTTACTCAACACCAGCAAATTCATAGTGGGGAGAAACCATACAAATGTAAAGAGTGTGGCAAAACCTTTAGCTGTTGTTCAAATTTTACTCAACATCAGGTAATTCATACTGGGGGGAAGACTTACAGATGTACAGAGTGTGCAAAAGCCTTTAATCAGTGCTCAAAACTTACTAAACATCAAAGAATTCATACTGGGGAGAAACCTTTTAAATGTAAGGAGTGTGACAAAGCCTTTAAGTGGCATGCAAGCCTTACTCAACATCAGCGAATTCATACTAGGGAGAAACCATACACATGTAAAGAATGTGGCAAAACCTTTATCCCTTGTTCAAATCTTATTCAACATCAGGTAATTCATACTGGGGAGAAGCCTTATAAATGTAAGGATTGTGGCAAAGCCTTTGCCTGCTGCTCAGCTCTTACTAGACACCAGCGAATCCATACTGGAGAGAAACCTTAGAAATGTAAAGAAGGCGGCAGAGCCTTTAATCAGAGCTCAAGTCTTACTATACATCTGCGGATTCATACTGGAGAGGAACTTTGTACAAGCACATGTGTACATGCTAAGTGACTTCAGTTATGTCCGACTCTTCGAGACCCCATGGGCTGTAGCCCTCCAGGCTCCTCAGAGGTCCATGGGATTCTCCAGTCAAGAACACTGGAGTGGTTGGCATGCCCTCCTCCATGGGGTCTTCCCAATCCAGGGATTGAACCCAAGTTTCTTTTGCCTCCTGCACCCGCAGGCAGGTTCTTTTCCACTAGCGCCACCTGGGAAGCCCCAGAAACCCTGTAAGTGTAAGGAATGTGGCCAAACCTTTAACTGGTTTGGAAGCATTACTCAGCATCAAGGAACTCACACTGGGGAGAAATTATGCAAATGTAAAGAGTGTGAGCTTTTACCCAGATCTCAAATGGCAACCCACTCCAGTACTCTTGCCTGGAAAATCCCATGGACAGAGGAGCCTGTTAGGCTACAGTCCTTGGGATCTAAAAGAGCTGGACATGACTGAGTGACTTCACTTTTACTTTTCACATTCAAGTCTCACTAGACATCAGAGATTTCATGCTATGAAGAAACCTTACATTTGCAAGGAATGTGGCAAAGGTGTTAATCAGAGCCATCACCTCACTTGACACCAGATAGCACATACTGGAGAAAAATGCTAGAAGTCAATAAGTGATCAAAGAGGTTTGTCCTAAATATTTATGCACTTTAGAAAAAAAATGAGAGCATTTACACTGGAAAAATGTATGAATAATGTAAAAAAAATGTAGAAGAGTGCTTAATTAAAAATCAAATGTAAATAAATATCAGAGAATGCATACTAGAAAGGCTTGCATCTATACCTCTTTTCTGGAATGACTGAATTGAGAATACTGTAGAAGGTAATCCATTGCTAAAATGCATAGAAAATTAATCTGCTGGTGTGGAACACAAGATGAAGGGGTGGATGTTTGGAGAGGTACCGTTATTATTAATGTATCTTGGTTTATACTAACATTATTTGAGATTATTAAGAAAGGAAAATGAATGTAATTTAACTCTCAGATTGCTACATGGTAAGGTTCATTTATAGTGTGTAAATTGACTTTTGTTTTTGATGGTTGCTGCCTCAAAGATAAGAGAAGCCCTTCTAACCTAGAGATAAATCATTCATATTTATTTTCCATTAGAAGATTAAGAACACAGTAATGTAATGTGTACACTGAACATCTAAGTGGTGTTGTATATCATTGACGTCAAACATCCCTATAGGTTACCATGATGGAAGTGTTCAGGAATCATCCCCTGTATTAATGTAAGACAGAGATTTGTTCTAAAATTGTAATACTTATGTCACTTGATTTTTAAGAATAAAACTATATAGTCCATTAAAAAAATCTGATGTATTTTTATTACATCAACACGAGAAATCATGCATATTACTAGACAGACTTGTGGTAAGGACATCTTCCTTCTCTCCAAGAAAACTGTAGAAAACCCTTCCTGGAAAAGTCATAAAGTTAATGTACACCCATGTTTACTAAATAACTAGCCTCCATTTTGTAAAGCATAGAAACCACAATTCTCAGATCATTTCATCATAGGAACAGGAATGTTTCTAAAAGCTTGTAATATCTATTTAATCAAGAATCACATGGTGATCACTAAGTAAGATGCATCTCTTATGTGTTCTGCATTGGCAGATGGGTTCTTTACCACGAGCACCACCTTGGGAGCCCAAGGATCATAGAGTGGATTGTAAAATGTTCTATGTTGACTATGTGTGAATTAATATATGTTGATTAATAGAAGAGAATGGTTTGTAGTGTTTACAGTTGATGTGTAATGAATGAAGTGTTAACCCAACACCACCATTAACCTCTCCCACCTTTTTAAGTTTGCAGGGAAGGTATTGTAATAAACTATTTGTAGCCCAGAGGGATGGCATCTGTAGAAATTAGCTTCCTTAGTGCCTTTAAACCTCAAATAATTTCCTGTATTTCCCATCATTTCTACATTGTACCTTTCCCCCACTCTGCAACTGTTGAGACACTGTGACGGTTCTAATAAGAAGGATCATACAGAGTACTGTAGAGAGCTCCCCTGAACTGCTCCATGCTGTTGCTGCCTCAGCTTCTGTCTGGGGAGCAGGCAGCCTGCAGGTCCTTGAACTCACAGCAGCCAGTCCTGTGAGCACCTGCCCTAGATCACCCCCTTCCTTGAGACCAGCAGTCTTGCTGAACCCCAGGGTCTACTTCACAGGCCCCACTTCAGTGACACCCTCAGAGCTCACCAGAATCCTGCTCCTCTGGTTTGAATGGACCCATCCACACTCAGCCTGGAGAGCCCACAACACTTCACCCAGGGTCACTTAGAAAGGCCTGAACCCCAAGTACTGGAGCTTTCTCAGCCTGGTTCTAGCCTGACCTCCCTCAGGGGACCTCAAGGCTACCTGTGAATTCTCTCAGGACCTGGAGTCATAAACTCACCTCCCTCATTGACCTTGTGGTCCTTGGTGGAACTGAGACATTCCGCAGACTGCCAGAGTCTCATTTTAACAAGTGCAAACCTTAAAAACTCACAAGAACTGTAATTAAAAGCCATGTTGTTAATATTCTGAACTAATATTCATAAAATTCTACACTATGTATTTTTTAGCATGTGTTTCTTGTCTATGCTTAAAGAAGCTTCTTTCCATGGCTTTGACATACATTGAATGCAATATATAAACATATGAAGGCATACTATACATTACCACTGAGAAAGCTAAGAATGAAGAGTGTGCCTGTATTTGTACCCTGGTCTTTTGAAGAATTTAGAAGCATTAGATCAAAATTGGTACTTTCAAACTTTTTGATTTACTAAGAACAGAAATGACAGATTTTTAAATTAGATATATTTTACCTGTTTTCCATTGAGTTCATTTTCCCCAAACTTCAGGAATCTGTGTTTTTAAGCAAACACCATTATAGTCAGTGTTTTTCCCAAGTGTTGCAAAGGTGAGGCTATGAATATCTTGAGTCTAGAGTACTTCCAAAACCATGAAATGATCTGTGTAAAACTGTCATGATGGACACATGTTATTATACATTAGCCCTGTCTCATAGTGTGAAAACAATTCCTAGGTAGCACTAGTGGTAAAAAAAAAAAAAAAAAAAAAAAAAAAAAAAAAAAAAAAAAAAAAAAAAAAANCCCCTGCCAGTGCAGGAGATGCAAGACAGGCAGGTTCCATCCATAGATTAGGAAGATCCCCTGTACAAAGAAATGATACCCATTCAGTGTTCTTGCCTAGAAAACTCCATGGGCAGAGGAGCCTGACAGGGGTCGCAAAGAGTTGGACATGACTGAGCGACTTCACTTTCCCTTTCAGATACACATTTACAGCATCATTTCCAAAGGCTTTGGTCCCTTCCCAACGTACATTTTAATCCATCCTCCATGCCTGCCTGGGGTTTATTTTCAAAGAAAGCTGTGATGTAAACACCTTCGTGCCTCCTGGTCTCTGAAGATGGAATATAAGGTAAACTATGGACCCTAAATACTTATGATGTCACTATAGATTCATCAGTGGTAACAGAAGTACCCCTATGGTGGAGGAGGATGATAAAGAAGGAGGTTATATGTATGTGGGAATAAGAAGCATATGAAAATTTCTGTACCTTTCTCTGAATTTTGCTGTGAAACTAAACCTTCTCTAAAAGAAATCTTTAAACTTTAAAAAATACATTGTTATTGGGGCATGCACACTTGATAGGATCTTTTTAAAAAGATTTAATGCTCTCAAATCATATTTAGAGAATGGATATGTTTCCCTTGTTTTATTTTTACCTCAATTAATGCACTTTATAGATGTGATAAAATATCAGGGAAAGAGTAGGGAGAGAACAAATTATAGCCACATAATTCTTTTATTTTTTTAAATATTTATTTATTTGATTGAGTCAGGTCCTAGTTGTGGGAGCATGGGCTTAGTTGCCCTGTGGCATGTGGGATCCTAGTTCCCTGACCAGGGATGAAACCCTTGTCCTCTGCTTTGCAAGGCAGATTCTTAACCCTTCGCCCACCAGGGAAATCCCCCAAACAATTCTTAAAATATAGAAACACACATACAATAGGGCAGCAACACCAAAAAAACTCTCATCTTCAAATTCAGTTACAATGTGCCTTATCACTTAATATTGATCACTACTTCCTTTGTGTATTATCAAATACACATTTACGGCATCATGTCCAAAGGCTTTGGTCCCTTCCCATTTTAATCCATCCTCCGTGACTGCCTTTGGTTCATTTTCAGAGAAAGCTGTGATGTAAATACCTTGGCGTCCCCGGGTCTCTAAAGATGGAGGCCCCCTCACCTACGGATAGGTGGTCACAACGCAAATCATTTTGGGAATGCCTCTGGCCCCAGGGGCCTTCCAAGTTAGCTCAGTGATCAAGAATCCGCCTGCTATGTAGGAGACCCAGGAGACGCGGGATCGATCCCTGGGTCAGGAACATCCCCTGAAGAAGGGAGTGGCAACCCACGCCAGTATTCCTGCCTGGGAAGCCCCAAGGGCAGAGGACCCTGGAGGGCTCTCGTCCACGGGGTCGCAGAAGAGCGGGACACGGCTGAGCTACTGAGAAGGAAAGCACGTGGCCCCAGGGAGGGGAGGAGGAGACAGGACCCAGGACTCGGGGTAACTTTGGAAGATCTGGGAGAGCAAGCGTCACCCCGCCAAGGGCATCATGTGAGTTTGTCCTCCACTCGCCTCCGCCTCCCCTTCCCCAAGCGCAGCTCGCGGCCACGGAGGGCCGCCCCCCGGAGGAGCCCCTCCCGGGCGTCAGGCGGACGGAGCCGGCGTTCTCAGAGGTTCCAGCCCCGCGCCCTCACCGGCTCAGGGCTCCCAGGGGTGCCGTGTGCGATGGCTCCGGCTCAGAGCCACGGAAGACAGGTGTTACAGGAGCCGCGTCAGCGCCCACAGGGGCTTGTTCAGCGTGCCGGCTCACGGCTTCCCCTCAAACCGGCCAACTCACAACTTAGACTGGGGAGGCGTTGTATCCACTTTAAGGCTGCAGAGAACATCTTCAGGGAGGCGGTTCTCATCTGGGGGCCCAGGAGGCCCCTCCTCGCAAACTCCGGCCCCTGGTCCCGGGGGCGCAGCCGCGCTGCTGTCTTCCGGCTCCCGGCGAGGCCCGGGCTGAACGCGGGGCTTCGGCGCGTCTGCGAGGGCTCCGCGCCAGCTCCAGGCCCGGAGGGGCGGCGGGGTCTGCTGGGCCGGGGTCGGGAGGCGGACGCCGGTGCCGCTCACCGGTCCCGCGCGGGCGGAATCCGGGGAGCGAACCCGTGTGGACGCAAAGGAGGGCTTGACGGGGCGTCTCCGGGAGGAGCTGATCGTCCCGAGTCCCTCCTGAGACGAGGACAGGAGAGGTGGGCCTTCTCGGCTTTTCAAGCGCCTTCTGCCTGCGGGCGTGTGGGGAGCAGGCGAAGGCGCCCTGCTGACGCCTTGGAAGGTGTATCTCAGCACGCTGAGTGATTCTTCCCCATGGCCTTGAGGAGAAAACGACCCAGGGCAGGAGGAAAAGAGGAGGAAATGGCCGCTTCTCGGGTAAACGTCTGTCCTGGGTCAGAGGCTACGTCTGCTTTTCCTCCTGAAATGCCCTGCATTAACAGTTTATAAACCTTTCATTCTCTACTTCTGATGTTGCCTACTGAGGTGGCTTTCAACTGCTAAATTTTTCCCTTTTTATTCTGATGATGGTCAAGATCAGAGCTTTAGAATGTTTCTCCCTCATGTCCCAGAGCCTTTTCTCAGGTGTCTCTCTGCATCAAGGCTGCCTGGAGAACTTGAAGCATCCTCACCGAGAATTAATGACTTTCCTTGTGGCTAAGAATCCTCCTGCCAACGCAGGGGACACGGGTTCCATGCCCGGCCATTAAGATCCCACGGCCGCGGAGCAGCTAAGCCCCTGCCCACAAGTACTGAGCCTGCGCTCTGGAGCCCTGAAGTGTGTGCCCTGGAGCCCGTGCTGCACTGCAAGAGAAGCCCCCGCAGTGAGAAGCCCGTGCACCACACCTAGAGAAAGCCCGCACAGCAAGAGAGACCCAGCGTAGCCGGAAATAAATGAATGAATAAATCAAAATAGAAGGACCTGGGATTTAGGAGGACAGCTGGTTATAAAGGCTGCTAGGGAAGACCTATGAGGAATTTACATTTGCTTATGAATTTGCAGGCTGTTATCTAGCACGTGTGCTTATGTGAATAACTGGTGTCAAAGCAAGGCACGTGCAGGCCACCAGTCTACACAAATGATGCTAAGGCAGCAATATTATGGTCAGTGTAAGTAACTCTCATCAATACTCCTATGCAATCCATATTGTAACCATCATAATGTCCCAGTAGTTAAAAACGAGGAAATGATGCACTGTACCATTTATGGAAAATATGGTCTCAAGTTATTTGAGGGTTATGGCCAGTAGAAAAAGAGGAGTTACTATGAGATGTCATTCTGCGTGCATCCTAAGTCACTTCAGACGTGTCCAACTCTTTGTGACCACATGGACTGTAGCCTGCCAGACTTCTCTGTCCATGGGATTCTCCAGGCAAGAATACTGGAATGGGTTGCCCTGCCCTCTTCCAGGGGATCTTCCAGACCCAGGGATCGAACCAGTGTCTCTTATGTTTCTGGCATTGGCAGACAAATTCTTTACCACTAGCACTACCTGGGAGGCCCCATGAGATGTCTTCCTACTGTGTTACAGATGCTTTGTATTCACCATCAGTTAGTGACGACTTAAAAAAAACCCAGGGGGATGCTAATGCTTGTATCAATGTTAACAATGGTGGTGGAATACATGTGTGCATGCTCAGTTGTGTCTGACTCTTTGCAACCCCATGGACTGGAGCCCACCAGCCTCTTCTGTCAATGGGATTTCCCATGGCAAAAATATTGGAGTGGGTTGCCATTTCCTTCTCCAGGGGATCTTCCTGACCCAGGGATCAAACCTACATCTCCTGTGTCTCCTGCATTGGCAGGCAGGTTCTTTACCACTGAACCACCTGGAAGCTTGTTACTGATAAGAACACTTCATCAAGTATACATCAAGTTTAATAAATGAAAAGCCGTTCACTTTTATTAATTAACTTATAGTAAGTTCACACATAATCTAAATAAAACTTTCCAAAGTTTATAATCTTTGATCAAAATACAGATTACAAGCATTTGGAAACATTCTTGTTCTTCTGATACAGTGGTCAGGGAAATGTGATATTTATGGTTTACAAAACAGAGAGAGCCGTAATTTAGTAAACAAGGATGTACATTCATTACATGACCTTTCAGGAAAAGGTTACATAGATTTTTCTTGGGTATCTGTGAAGATTTCCTGATTGCTACCTTGTCAAGTAAAATTTATGACTTCTAGTTATTGCTGTTATAAACATATGTCAAGATTTCAGTGAACTGCCATCTTTATATCCATAAAAAACCGTTGGCACACCTATTTAAAATTTAGACTCTCTTACTTTAATACAAAGAGTTATTCTCTGAACACTTACCTAATGGTGACATAGAGGGATGTTTTAAACAATGACAGTCATCACCTTCATTTAGACTTCCACTATACATTTCACATTACAAGATCCGTAATAGTCCATAGAAAAGTAGATAAAAATTGTTTCCACCTAATATAGAAGGGTCTTGTTTAACTTTGAGGCAGCAAAGATCAAGAATATTAGTTTTAAAAAAAGCATATTAGGTCACATACACACTGGAAACAAAGGTTTAGCCTGTAGTAATTTGAAAGTTGAGTTATATTAAATTTTATTTTCACAAAATGTCAATATGAACAAGGATACAATGATAATAATTATATTGTCCAACATCTCTCACCTTGATCCTATGATCCACAGTAAGAAATAATTTTTCTAAGTGTTTTAACTATGGATTATTTCCTATAATATCCTGCTTAAAGTAATACCAGAAAAGGGTTATTGACTGAATGCTATCTTTGATGAATTCTCTGATATTTACTTAGACCTGAGTTTTTAAATTCATTTTGTCCATTTCTCACAGCATTAAACATTCTTCCCAGTATGAACCCTCTGGCATTTTCTGATGTGTATACCTAGGACAAACCTCTTTCATCACTTATTACATTTGTAGGGTCTCTCTCCAGAACACGCTCTCTGATGCTGAGTGAGGTGACGGTTCACTTCAAGACTCTGTCACATTATTTATATTTGTAAGACTACTTGGCAGTGTGAATTATTTTATGGCAAGTAAGATTTCAGTGGCAGTTAAAAGCTTTGCCTCATTCTTTACATTTGTATGGTTTCTCCCCAGTATGAATTCGCCTATGTTTATTAAGGTTTGAACTCTGATTAAAGGCTTTGCCACATTCTGTACATTTATAAGGCTTCTCTCCTGTATGAATTCGCTGATGTTGAGTAAGTGTTGAGTTGTGATTAAAGGCTTTGCCACATTCTGTACATTTATAAGGCTTCTCTCCTGTATGAATTCGCTGATGTCGAGTAAGTGCCGTACTTTGGTTAAAAGCTTTCCCACAATTCTGACATTTATATGGCTTCTCCCCAGTATGGATTCGCTGATGCCGAGTAAGTGCTGTACTTTGGTTAAAAGCTTTCCCACAATTCTGACATTTATATGGCTTCTCCCCAGTATGGATTCGCTGATGTTGAGTAAGTGCTGTACTTTGGTTAAAGGCTTTCCCACAATTCTGACATTTATATGGTTTTTCCCCAGTATGGATTCGCCTATGTTGATTAAGGTTTGAATTCTGAGTAAAGGCTTTGCCACATTCTATACATTTGTAAGTCTTCTCTGCAGTATGAGTTCTGAGATGTCGAGTAAGGTTTGAGGGCTTGCTAAAGGTTTTGCCACATTCTGTGCATTGGTTAGGTTTCCCTTCAGTATGGGTTTTCCTGTGTCCGTTTAGATTTGATAATTGAGGAAAGACTTTCCCACATTTATTCCACTTGCAGTGTTCCCCCTTAGCATGAATACTCGGATATTGAGTAAGTTGTGATGACTGGTTGGAAACTTGACCACATTCACTAAATTTGTAATTGTTTTCTTCATTGTGGATATTCCTATCTGTAATAAGATTTGGGCTTTGATAAAAGATATTTCTACATTCATCCCTTTCATCGTGGTTCTCTGAACATTGAGTTTTCTGATGATTCATGAGACCTGAGTCTTGGTCAAAGTGATTCCCAGGTTCTAGGCATGGGTAGACTCTGGCTCCATCATAAATACTGTTGTAATAACTGAAGATGGAGTTCTCGCTTAAGGCCTCACTCGTTGGATTACACATGGAAGGTTGTTCCTCATTATCTGTACTATGATACCTATTGAATGATGGAGGCCAGATAAAGATTCTCTCATTATTATCGACATTACAGATATTGGAATAGGGAGAAAATGTTTGTTGGTGGAAAAATAATGAGCCCTCACTAAAGGATCTCTCAACTTGATCATAGTGAGATTTTCTTCCTTCATTTTCAAATCTCTGGCTTTCAGACATGTATGACTGACTGTTTAATTCAAACCTATGCTCATACTGGCTTGAGTGATTATTTGTAGCATACACTAGATGACTTTCCATGTTTTCAAAATTTCACACCAGGGAATATGTATTTTTTTAAAATCATATGGGTCCTTGCTTACAAAAACATATTTTTCTGCCAAACTTATTGACTTCAAATGGGATTTTTCCCAGTTTGACACATATCCTCAATTTCTTTTGGCAATCATGTTTTCATCATGGATAATTGTCCCGATTTGGTTACATCTAAAAGAACATCTTTTTGCCCTTCACAGGCCCCCTGACTTTCCCAGTCTTTCATTAAGTACGGATTTCCAAGCTGAGAGCTCTCAGAACTTCCCAGCACCTCACAGATGAATCTCCTATGCACGGCTTCTTTGGGAACAAACCCTGGGTGTCACGAGAAGATATCGCTGAAAGATAACAAATAACCGAGATCACACTTAGTATTTTGAGTGAATGTGCTTTACAGTTGTATGCAATACTGACAAACCCTTAGCTAGATTAATAAGAGGTGAGATGCAAATAAGATCAGAAGTAAAAACAACGGCCCTGTACATGTTACATAGAACAAAAAGTAATTATATCAGGTTACAATGAATGATACTATACCAAAGAGTGGAATACCTCAAAGAAAGATTCAATTCTTGGAAACACAGAACACCTTAGATGTTAGCATGAGTGAATTAAATAATTATAACACAACTAAAACTATTAATAAAGAATAAAAAAGTAATTTAAAAAATCCCTGGAGTAGATGAATTAACTGGAAAATTTCAGCAAACTTCAAGAAAAATAAATATCAATTCTCCATAAAGGATCACCATGTACACACTACTATATTTAAAATGGATAGCCAACAAGTTCCAACTGTACTGCAGAGGGAACTCTGCTCAGTGTTATGTGTCTGCCTGGATGGGAGGGGAATCTGGGGGAGAATGGACACATGTACATGGATGGCTGAGTCCCTCTGCTGCCCACAACATTGTTAATCGGTTATACTCCAGTACAAAATAAAAGAACAGTAAAAAATATTTCTGTGAGTTAATAGATATATTAAATGGTTTTAGCAGTGATGAGTTGGGGGTAAATGCACTTAAAATGTCTAAAATTTGCTCATAGGAAGTAAAAATTGGGAGGTAGAAATTGGGGATTACATTTTATGATCTCAGGGACTGAGTCTGAACTTCAGAGAGCCATGTTTGAAGTTTCCTTTGGAAACTGGAAAGCAGGAAGCATATATATCTGTTCCCAGTATTTCTGGAATTTTGTCAACTAATCCCAGCATCTCCACAACTCTCCTCACAGGTTTCTGACTTGAGGCAGAGTCAGGAATTTGGAAAGGCCTTAAGGCAGACTTTATCAGAACTGTGAGCAGCCTTTCTTAGGTCCCCCAAAGCAGCGAGAGTGTGCAGGTCCCCAGAGGCCAGGAGGAAGGTTTTGGCTCTCAGTGAAAGAGAGGGAAAACCACTGGAGCTGAAGAAGAACACACGGAGGTTTAAGAGCAGAAGAATGGGGACGGTCATGTCCCTCTTTGACAGAAATAAACCCAGGCTCCTCACTCTAGTGAAGCAGGCCTCCCCAAACCACCTGAACAAGTCTGGCTTCCTCGGTGGTCTTTGGACCCCTCACCTGTGTCATCTGCTTCATTCATTCACACCTAGCACTGGGATTCTTCCTTTACTCCAAAGGGACCTGCTCATTAGAAAAAGGAATATAATTAGGACTTTGGGTTTAACATATACACTCTAGTATGTACAAAAACAACCAAGAAGGATCTGCTGCATAGCCCAGGGAATTATTCTCAACATTTGTAATAACCCATAAGGGAAAAGTGTCTGACTTGACTAATGAAAGCCTCTCCTTACAAAACTTGGTATCTCTCCTGAACACAACTCAGTGCTCATATTTCAGAGCCAACGAGCAGCAAAGAGACACTAGGAGGAAATGGAGTTTCCACCTTAACTGTGTTGGATTGTGCACCCCCCTCACTACGTCTTGCCAAGATTTTAGTAAAGATAAACAGAAAAAAATGGAACTTCATGGTGTGAGAATCTAGCAGAAAACACCCGAATCGGTGACCATCAGGTGTAATGGGATAAACTGGTGTCAGCTAAGAGAAACATTCCAGAAGACACATGGTCTCTGCTAAGGTACTTTCGGCAAAATTAAGGAAATCTCAATGTATCTTGAGAAAATTTCAGTTCTATGCATTTTTACTCCAAAAATATCTCCCCTGTTCTGTATCCCTAACAGCACATTTAAACAATAGACCTTTCTTACCAATGTAGAGAATAGTCAGATTTTTTTCAAAAGTCTCTAAGGAATTCTAGACTGTGAGGAAAGCTGAGCGCCAAAAAATTAATGCTTTTGAACT